TTTTGACAGGGATAACATTTGTCATATCGTAAAGTCACCTGCTAATGTATCTTGGAAGATTATGAATCTTGCAACAGATGTTGCACACAGAGCTGTTAGTTCATTAGAAGGTGCAGGAGTCTTCGCTGTTGAGTTGTTTCTGACAGAGGATGGTCAGGTTGTCTGGCATTTTCCACACGTATTAGATATATTTTTGTTTTATAGAAGGAACTATATCAGTTTGTGTATTTACAGATATCTTCAAAAGCATTCATATTTTTTAAAACTTAACATGTTTGTAATTGTTAACTTCTTGCAGATTTTACTAAATGAAGTAGCTCCGAGACCTCATAATAGTGGGCATCACACCATTGAGGCTTGCTTCACTTCACAATATGAGCAGCATTTGCGGGCTGTCGTTGGCCTTCCGCTTGGTGATCCATCAATGAAAACTCCTGCTGCAGTCATGTATAACATATTGGGGGAAGACGATGTAAGCTTCCTTAGTAATTTTTCTTCCCCACAATTTTGATGAGTTTAGTAAATGCTAATTACTGAATTACTGTTGGAGTTTTTAAGGAAATTTTGTACACATGAGGCATTCTGTCTTTTTCAATATGCATTTTCACATGAATGTGTTGAAGAACAATTGCTTTTACCATCTGTGTCCCTAATACAACACATCAGCTTGCGTGTGAAGATTGGTGTTTAAATAATGCTGCATCTTCAAAAAAATTGTCTCCATGCATTTTTGAAGTTTGTATTTGTTGTTTGCATTTATACTAGTTGCATGAGCAGCAGCTATCGTATGCTTGTCTAACATTGTGTTTTTGCTTCTAGGGAGAACCTGGATTTCTTTTGGCTAATCAACTTATTGGAAGGGCATTGGGAATTCCAGGGGCATCTATTCATTGGTATGACAAGCCAGGTTGGTGGATTTGACCTCGTATTGGTGGTCTTTGTCTCCATACGTTCCTCATATACATTTCTGGATGTAACCTTATACTCTCTTTCCCATTAAAAAACAAAAGCATGTAAGTATGCCACCAAATAGTGAAACTGTATGCTTCAATGACTTGTAGAGATGCGAAGGCAACGGAAGATGGGACACATCACAATAGTTGGCTCTTCTATGGGCGTTGTGGAAGCGCAGCTAAAAGTGATGCTAAATGAAGACAGTGTTAATAACCAGCCTGCAGGTTAGTTGTCAAAATGCTTCATAAACATATTCAAGTTCTCTGTGTGTAAATATTGCACTCTGGTTGGATATTCTGGAGTAGTTGCAACCTTGATTTTTCTTTTCATCCAATATGCAGTTGCACCACGTGTTGGAATCATAATGGGATCTGATTCAGATCTTCCTGTTATGAAGGATGCTGCCAAGATTTTAAAAGAGTTTGATGTGCATGCTGAAGTATTCACCATTAACTATTGCACCTCCATTTCCATTTCATTTGGCAGCTTGCCAATTGTGTTTACCATGAAATATTTATCCAAGAACCTTGTAATGATGCAGGTAAAAATTGTTTCAGCCCACCGTACACCTGAGATGATGTTTTCTTATGCATTGTCTGCGCGAGAACGTGGTATCCAAGTAATAATTGCTGGGGCTGGTGGAGCCGCCCACTTACCTGGTCGGTTGTCTTACCCTACAAAATAACTTATTCTATTGTAGGTCTTCTAGCATACACTAAATGTGGCTTTTTGGTTGAGCAGGAATGGTCGCTGCATTGACTCCACTACCTGTTATTGGTGTTCCAGTACGGGCTTCCACATTAGATGGACTTGATTCTCTATTATCCATTGTTCAGGTACTTCTGTTACTCTAGATTATTCAATTATGTCAAGTCAGTAGTTATGGGGGTTTAATATCTTTTTTAAGTTCAATGACCTCTGTGAGTGTGCTAGCTGGAAAAATACCTAAGAGATAATTAAAAACAATCCTTTCAAAAGAAAATTTAATAATGATAACAATTTAGGATTTTGAGTTAGAGAGAGAAAAAAAAAAAGAGATAAGAATTGCAAAAGAATAATGCATGTGTTATCTTTTAGAGGAGAAAGTGTCGTTATCATTATTCTTGGTTGGACTAGTGCTCAAGTCCATTAACTAAAATTATGTCTCAATCCAAGCTAGTTCGTCAGCTACATGAATCTTCACTATCCATTTTGCTCCACTTGGAGTGAATATCCTAGTTTTATCTCTTCAACAGAGTTCTATGCCTTACTGTAAGTATAACACCTTGGACTCATGGATGGAGCCTTCTTTCTGCTGGTAGTGGCAATGCACCCTGACCTATTAGAGGCCTATATTTTTCTGAAATGCTTTAGAAGGAAAAATGTTTACTTGTTCCTTTATTCTTTAGATGCAACCTTGCTCTTATGGTCGTGGTAGTTTTGGGCAACTATTTTAAGTTGCTTTATTGCTTGTGTAATCAGCAAGTTTACAAGTGACAACTTGGTAGTTGGGAATATTTCATTCATACAGCTTGTAAGACATTTTTGGTCATAGCAGTTGAAAGATCATGGTTTCTCATTTATGTAGATGCCAAGAGGAGTCCCTGTTGCAACCGTTGCAATCAACAACGCCACAAATGCTGGTCTGCTGGCAGTAAGATTGTTAGGAATCAGCGACATTAACTTGCAAGCTAGGTAATAAAACTTTCCTCTCATCTCTCTCTATAAAAACTTCTTCCCTTCCCCTTCTCTCACCACCTACTTAAAGTCGTCAGAATGAACTGGAAGAAATTATATATTTTTTTCTTGAAAAGAGCAAGTATGAGATGTCAGTAAACGGAAGAATGAAAGACTGCAAGATACTTTTTCTGATGGAAGTAATAACATTACTATGTTCTAATGCTATTTAGCTCATTTTCACACACACCCCAAAAAGTGACTTTTTTGTTTTTGCTCGACACGGTTGATTATGAGAATGACTTGGAACATAATGATCATCTTGTAGGATGGCCCAGTATCAAGAGGACAGAAGAGATGAGGTTTTGGTAAAAGGGGAGAGACTAGAAAAAGTTGGCTATGAAGAGTATCTCAACTCTTAAAACTATTTCAGCACCAAGCTGTTTCTAACATTCACTAAAGTGTAGTAGCACAGTGTCACCTGCATTGTACAATAGTCAAATATATTAGATAGCATGAGCTGCACAAACACTGGTTAACAGCAAGTTATTTTGGCGCTGTTTCGGGAGCAAATTCATTTTGAGGCAGATGAAAGAAAAAACCATGAAACAAGATTACTTTGTACAAGCTTTCTACATGGAATTTTGTTAAAGATTTGTTGTTCACTTTTAGTCTTTTCTAGTTTGGATTTTAGAGGGGTCTGGAGTCTAATTGTTCAAAATTAAACTACTGTCTTGTTCTACAGACCCAAGTTTGAAAGTATGACAATTACCATTTCTGATATATATGAGATTAAGAATATTGTATTTTTGCTGCTTTCTTACATGCTTTCTGTAAGTTAATTTATACCAATCAGAGTCCCAGGGATGGAAAAACAAAGATCATATCTTGATTGTGTACTATAATGCTATCCCTATCGATAGAGGAAGTTGATATGCGAGATGGACTTAGTTGGCTTCATCTAATGCTTATACTACTTTCAAGCTCACATCAAAACATGAAGTGATTTGGGCTCAGCTCGAGTCATGTCCATCAACTATATTTGTTTAGTTTGTTTTATAAAATCAAATCAAATTAAGTTAATGTTAAGTCGATGGGGAAGATAATTTCCAACATGTCCCACCCATCTAAGGACAAATTAAATTACACTCATAATAGCTAACATTTTATTTGGGCACCACATAATATTTTGGTGAAGAATCAACACTTAACCATTCTCTGTCTAAGGTGGCTCCGCACATGACATTCCATATTGGGGGAGGGGGGGGGGGGGGTTGCCAGCTTGGGGCTAAGGGGTTCATCCGTTCTCTATTGGCAGAAAATTACACTCTTTATACATGGTAAAAATTATATTTTTATGTATATAATAGATGTTAATCCCCCTTTGACAAAATTACACTAGTTATATATGGTTAATTTTTTTTTATGTATATATAGTAGATGTGGACCCCCTTTGAATAGTTCGTGTACTTACTTCTTCATAATTTGAATCCCTTAGGGAAAATCCTAGCTTTGCCACTTCTCCATATATTGTTACTTTTGCCTCTTTGTATAATATAATATAAAGTATAGAAACCCCATCAATTTGGATGTTAATGACCTCTTATCCCAAAAATTTCTCAAATTATAATAATCTCAAAATCTTCATAACTCACGGATATATTACTCCTTCACTCGATACATAGCAAATGATGAATAACTTTCTCCTTAACTTCTTGTGACTTGAGGCCCAAAGCAACTTGGTTCCAAATCTCAAGTTTAATGACACATTAAGTCCACCGGCCCTTTTAGGCAAACATATTTTATTTGCATCGAACTTTATTCATCTATTATCTTAAAAATCTTGTATGCCCATTATTTGCATCAAATTTTATTAATGGAAAAAGGATCAAGTTTGCCCTTCTACTATTTGAAAAGGCTTAAGTGTATCCTTCGTTATACTATCCAAACAAAAACGCCATTGTTGTTACTTTAAGGTACAAAAATACACCTCTCCACTAACAGCGGTCTAACGTGGAAAAATCATCAGGACGGTCGTGTGAAGAATGGTATTTTTGAACCATTAGATAATGACTACGGTGTTTTTGTTTGGATGGTATAGCTATGGGCAAATTTAGATCTTTTGGAATAGTAGAAGGCCATCGATAGAGACCTCCTTTTGTGTTCGTAGAAACAAAAGATGGTTAGCATCTCCCCCGATAGAGACCTGTTACAGACACATCTGATTAAGGCTACCCACTTCAGTGAATCTTACCCAATTTTTCACCACCAAAGGGCGTGGTGCCGTGGTGCAGTAGATGGGGCTGCTAAAATCCCAAGGTAGGGAATGCTTCACCCGAATGGGGTCGTACGCAACACGAATCTGGATTAGTGAGAGTACTCCAACTCTCTTTCAAAGTCTTTAAAATGCATATATAGAATGTACTATTTTGTGAACAAAGCAAGAGATTCAATTTTCTTTTATGCTAAAACAAGTTAACAAAACTCTTGAATTCAACAACAGCAGAATCCAGACAACAAGAACGATTTCGCAATATAAAAAGTTTGCATCTTTCACCAACCAAGGAGTAGAAGCTTCAAAAGCGCCATCCGAATGTAAAGACCATTCTTAGCTTGTCTGAAATAAGCAGCCCTCGGATCACCATCCACATCAACAGTTATCTCATCAAGTCTTGGCAAAGGATGCATCACTACAGCATGTTTCTGCATAGCATTTACGACACTCATATCAACGATATACTTCCCTCGAGCTTCTTCATACAAATCAACCCTCTCTCCAAATCTCTCTCTTTGAATACGAGTTTGATACACCACGTCACATTTAGAAGCCACCTCGATCAAATCAGCATTTTCTTCCCATTGAACCCCCATTGATGTCAAGTAATCCTTTATGTCATCCTTCATTTTAACAACATCAGGAGATACAAAGTAAATTTTCACATCTTCATACATCGCAAGCAAATGAGCAAGTGAACGAACTGTCCTCCCGTATGCTAGATCACCAACAAGAGCAACGTTTATACCATCGAGTTTCCCTATTTCTCGTTCAATTGTATACACATCTAGAAGTGCCTGAGTTGGGTGTTGTCCCGGACCATCTCCTGCATTTATAATCGGAATAGATGCAGTTGACGCCGCTCTTCTTGCAGCACCACTTTCGAAATGCCTCATAACAATGATATCAGAGTAACCTTCAACAGTTCTAATTGTATCTTCTAGTGTTTCCCCCTTTGCTGCAGATGAAAATTCACGAGCATTTTCGGTTGTTAATACTTCTCCTCCTAAACGCTTCATAGCAGATTCAAATGAAAGCCTAGTTCTAGTTGAAGGTTCATAAAACAGAGTAGCCATAAGATAACCCTTAAGAATCTCGCTTCTTCCTCCAATCGAATTCTTCTCGATTTTCTCCATCTCCCGTGCTACTTCAAATATCGCACTAAGAGTTTCTCTATCAAATTGTTGAGATTCAATTACATCATCAAGGTGAAACTTAGTTGAAGATTTATTTTCGATCTCCAATGCTCGGCATTGGAATTTGTTGCTATTTGTTGACATACGGTATTGATTTCGTCCATTTTTAAACAATTCAACAGATTTACAGAGCACAGGTTGATTTGCCCATTCACTCTTTCTAATAGGTGACATGAGTATTTTTCCATGGGAAGAAAATGTTGCGGAAATAGTCATATTGAAATCACTCACCGGAGAGAGGAACAACGGCGGCAATGGAGAGGAGATCGTCGAGAGTTTTCCGATGACGTTTGGTTCTGCCGGAGATTGGAGCTGCTCGAGAAGAGGAGGCAGCGGGGTTCGTTGAAACTGGCTGTGACGGGGAAAACACGGGGTTTTAGGGTTTTTGGTAAAGGGTAGCTTTGGTATTATCGATAAGAAAAAATTCTTATTATAATTTTTTTGATAAGTGTCGAAAATTTATTTTTGCCACATACATATATTGAGGTCAAAGAGAGTAACGCATATTAGATGAAAACTACGTAAAAAGTAGGAGTGTGAAAATAATATGAAGAACCGATCGAATCTGATTATATCAAATTGATTTATGTCATTTTTTTAATACAATTTTATTTAAGTAAATAATCATCGGAACAATTGGGATTATCTTTTTAATTTATGATAAAATTGGAAATAACCGAATCAGATAACCTTAAATATATGTAAATATATTTTATACGTTAACAGTATCTTGAATTTAATATATAATTATATTTTATAACCTTTTTCAAATAAAGATATAACCTAGGTCCTAGATACTACAATAAATACTTCATCAAACAATACGGTAAAACTTACGCGAGTACTATGATTAAATGTTTAAGATCAAACAATATGGTAACAAGATTTTAAATTCTTGACATCTTGGTGAAAAATTGAAGTGTTTCTTCAAAAAATATTTTAATAATAGTATATTAATTTTGAGGAGATATTTAAAGTAAAAAATCGAAAATTAACTGAACCGTACCGATATCGAAGAGAAACCGATATGATTGGGATGGTTTTAAAAAGTGTAATTTTGGTTATACATTATAATATACCCAAAAAATAAAATTGAGATGATAGAATTAACCGATCAAACTGTCTCATTGACAACCCTAGTAAAAAGTATTTCTATAAATTATAGAAAGAATTATTGAAAATAACCCTGAACTTGGTGCAAATTATTAATCTCATTCATGAACTATTGACAATCTAAAAAACACCCATGTACTTGTCTAACTAAACTTAGATACACCGCCGATTTGCCACTTTACATAACAAGTGGTCTCAAACTATTGTAAGAGCATTAAACTCTTAATAAAAAGTCGATAGAAGTATTGAAAACACTCCTAAACTTGACGAGAATTTAGGAATATATATCACCAGAGGCGAATCCAGGATTTCAAGAAAACGGGTGCACCATTGCTTTAGAATTTCGTTTTTTAAAAAAAAAAAAAACTAGTGTTATTAGTTACTACAAAAATTGAAGTGAATTGTGGTTGGTTAAGATTGAACTCAGGACCTTGGTGTTAAAACCTGACTGTCAAACCAGTGAACCATCCAGCAACTTTAAGAACGGGTTCACAAGTGTTTATTTAATATGTTCTTTAATAATTATACAAGTAATATATCGAGTTTAGTCGGATGACCACGGGTTCGAGTGACCCAATTTTTACATATAAATTCGCCATTGTATATCACTCATGTTGCAACTTGCAAGATCTGTGTATTTAAGTTCAGTTTGTCAAGTAAAAAGATGTTTTTAAAGCTGTGAATAATTTGAAATGAAATTAATAATTCACATCTTATTTAGGAATATTTTAAATACAAAAGGCCAAAAATCAAAAGTTGAGATCCCAACTTACCATTTTTAACTCGCAAGTCACTTTAAAAAAGTGAATCCAACACCCTTTTAGTCATTTATTCCTGTTGATCTTTTGAGAGTCACAACTCACAACTAACAAAATCAACAAGGGTGTTCGTTTAGTGGCTAGGCAATAATAGAATTATCTATGTGCTTTTAATTTATTACGAGGATGACACATACGTAACACAGCAAAATAGTGATCATGGACCGCGAATGATTACAGATCGGGGATGATTTGAACTCACAATCTTAATGTTGAAAATGAGGGGTATTTACCATCCACACAATCATTTTTTGTCTATGTTCCTACTGTTTGGTATATAAAATCAAGGTTTTTAGTTTATGAATTTCACAAATTCTCGACTATTCTACGAGATGTTAGTATTTACTGAGTAAAATATATAATATATCAGTTCATATGCATGTTTCATTGGGTTTATCACCATGTTTCGATGATTTGTTTTATGTGAAATCTTAACAATTAACCGATAACCAAAATCATAACAATCAATAACCAATAAATCATATATTAATGATTCTATAACAGATTAACATATCTACAAATCGATAAACTTAAAAAATAAACGGATAAACTTCAAAATCAAATTGAATGGATCGATACACAATCTTATTATATTTTATTAGGAATACTAAACACCCAACTTAAACCAAATTTTAGACATTTAAATTTAAACAAAAACAAATAAAAGATTCATCTTATTAATATAGATGGGTACATATCAGATCCTTTAAAATACTATATTTAGAGAATCCAACATGAATATGACATCAAACAAACTTAAACTAAATCATAAGAAATCTATTTTTCACCTTACTAAACCCAAATTAAGAATACCCCATGAATTTTGTGGCCAAGACTTGTCTTTTGCCTTCATCAACAAAACTCTTGTCCAAGCAACCCAACCTTCCCATGACATTCTTTTGTCCCATGGACTCCCCCATTCCAAGATCAATCTTAGCCCCTTTTCAGCCTCTTTTTCTGCTTCTTCAAACTTCCCTTTGCTCAAATAAATTTGCCCCAATACTACATGAGGCTCACCTACAAAAGGGTTCTTGTCAATACTCATCAATAACTTCTCTTTAGCGCAATCTAAACCTCTCTTAGACCCTTCACAAACACCTTCCCAATACAATTCTCTTGCCATTTTTTGCTCTTCTGCATCCAAAACTCTTGTGCAATTGTCGAAAACCGGTGGAATAACAAGATCAATCTCTTCGTCCCTCCCGGATACAACAATCCCTTCTTCGCCATTTCGCTTTCTTTGTTCAATAATCATCTCTTCTTCTCTTAATATCAGAGTATAAATTGCCCCCATTCTTGATACGGAATTCATCCATAGCCCGGGCTTTCCATCACCGGGCCATAGAGTTGTTTGAGAATTGTTTCCAGTGAATTCCAATCTCCCGTTAGAATTCTCAAACAACAAATCCTGAAAATTAAACAACTGATCACTGAAATCCGCCATTGTCATTAGGAGAAACACAGCCACTAATCTCCTCGAAACCAACACATCTTCTCCCGTCTTAATATGCTTCACAATTACACCATCAACAGGCAAAATCGACACCAATTTCTTCCTCCACGCTTCGTTTTCATTAAATAAACCCTTCTCCTTCGCATTACTCAACGACGCCATCGAAAACTCGAGATGCTCCACAAGCTCTGAATCAGTATACCGAAACAACAAATCATCATGAATCAATGGCTGACGAGGAACAATACAGAACAGATGAATCAATCTCTCAGCAGCTTCACCGACATGACCACGTACAGTTTCACGTCCAGTGGACGGATCGAATATAGCTAGATTTACATATGAATTAGAATAAGCTGAATGGAAAAGACCACAAAGACAAACGGAATTTGGGGCTTTCCAGATTTTGAGAATTTTGTAAATATCAATTAAGTGATCGAGAAAGCTGCCGTGTTTATGCCAACACTCACCGGCGCCGACGGAACGTAAAACGGCGATAAGGTTAGGGAGATCTTTGTCGATTGATTCGAATTCTCCACGGAGAAAAGGACGGCATGATTCCAAAAGGGAATGGAGATATGGGTTTTCTGTAGGAGAAAGAGAACTCAGTGATGAAGGCATTTTCTTTTTTTGCTTGGTTGAGAAACAATGGAGGAAGAAGAAGAAGATAGGATTATGATGAGACGTATAACAGTAGGAGTTCACTTGTTTGTTGTCACCTTTCGGGTTCGGTGGTTTTTATTAGGGAATGCGTAGGACTAGGGTTGTACATAGGTTGGTTTGTTTTGATTTTTATTAAAAAAATTTAAATCATTTATATCGGTTTATTAAATCTAAATATGAAATCAAATCACGCAAAGTTAGTTTTTTCGGTTTCGATTTTAGTCAGTTCTTTTGGATTTTTTCGATCTTTTACAACTTAACGGTGTTTGAAAAAAGATCAAATATATTTTCACCTACCTATGTGATAAGCTACACTTAAGAAATGTTAAATGAATAGAAATTTTCGTAAAGACGGTAGAATTCACATGAGTACAAGATATATTTTTTTGAAATATCAACGTTCATTATGTTAAATTAATAAGATTAAAGATACAGTCAAACTGAATATAAAACTAAATATTTACAAAACAAATTGTTAACTTCGAATTTGAAAAACTATAACAATATAATTGTAACTTCGGATCTTAATACAAAATAAAATATTTACAAATTTTGCAAGCCCAAATTTGAAATAAAATATATAAATATTGAAAGCTATAAACTAACTAAAAATATATTAACAAAGTAGATTATAAGTAATATTTTTTATCTATAAATAAAATAAAATTATATATATAATATTTACAAAATTTTAGAAGCCCAAATTTGAAATAAAATATATAAACATTAAAAACTATAAACTAACTAAAAATATATTAACAAAGTAGATTATAAATAATAATTTTTATCTATAAATAAAATAAAATTATATATATAATATTTACAAAATTTTACAAGCCCAAATTTGAAATAAAATATATAAACATTAAAAACTATAAACTAACTAAAAATATATTAACAAAATAGATTATAAATAATATTTTTTATCTATAAATAAAATAAAATTATATATATAATATTTACAAAATTTTATAAGCCCGAATTTGAAATAAAATATATAAACATTGAAAGCTATAAACTAACTAAAAATATATTAACAAAGTAGATTATAAGTAATATTTTTTTATCTATAAATAAAATAAAATTATATATTTAATATTTACAAAATTTTACAAGCCCAAATTTGAAATAAAATATATAAACATTGAAAACTATAAACTAACTAAAAATATATTAACAAAGTAGATTATAAATAATAGTTTTATCTATAAATAAAATAAAAATATATATATACTATTTACAAAATTTTACAAGTCCAGATTTGAAATAAAATATATAAACATTGAAAGCTATAAACTAACTAAAAATATATTAACAAAATAGATTATAAATAATATTTTTATCTATAAATAAAATAAAATTATATTATTTACAAAATTTTACAAGTCCAAATTTGAAATAAAATATATAAACACTGAAAACTATAAATTAACTAAAAATATATTAACAAAGTAGATTATAAATAATATTTTTTATCTATAAATAAAATAAAATTATATATATATATATATATTATGTCGGTTTGGTTTGGGTTCGGTTTGACTTTTTTTCATTTAATACCAAACCAAATCAAGAGTGGTTAGTTTTTTTTTTTTCAACGGCCAAACCAACCAAACCAAACCACAAGTCGATTTTTTCGGTTTGACTTTACGGTTTGACTTGTACACCCCTACGTAGGACTATATGGCACGACTTCGAGTTTAATTGGGTTTCAATGTGGTATAAGGTATTAAACATATATGATTAAAATCTTTTTTTATATATATTAAAAATAATTATTTTTAATTTCTTGTTTTATATTGAAATTGAATTATAAAATTTATTAAAATTTGAAAAATTCTAAGAAATTATTTTCATACCAAAATCACTCATTAAAATATGAAATATTTTCAATTTATATTCAAATTTAGACACGATTCTAATTTCTAAATACTATTTTCACTTGAAAATATTTTTTAAATTCTTTTTATGATTTTATGTCTAAATGCCTCAAATTCTTTTAGATCATTATTTAGATGATTGTTAAGGATAAAGATAAAGGATAGAATGGGAGAGTTGAGTGCAATAATATACAAGTTGGCAAGATCGGAGTAGTGCAGATACAATCAATTTTATTTGTTGTGTTCTGGATAAGTAATCCATAAAATTCTTCATTCAATACATTAAGGGGCCGTTTGGTTACTGGTTAGAGTTATGCATGTATTAGTTATGCAGGGTTTAGTTATGCATGTATTAGTTATGCAGGGTTTAGTTATGCGGGTATTAGCTATGCGGATATTAATTATGTAGGTATTATTTAGTTATGTAGAGATTACAATACATGAATTGTTAACTATTAAATGTTAAACTTGTTGTAAATTATTAATATATATTATTTACAAAATAATAATGCATGCTAATAAATGGGGAATATATTGAATAATATATAATGCTAATATTAGCATATGTACCGTCAAAAAATATACAATCAAATTTCTAATATTAAAAAAATATTTATATTTGCATAAATAAATAAAAACTGTAAGTATATAAAAAGAAATGAAAATGGTCTATATATAAAAAGAAATAAAAACAACAAATGTAGATAGAAAACAGTAAAGTTTCCAATTAAATAAAATAAAATAAATTAATTTTTTTTACAATACCTGAAATGATAAATTTATGAAATAGTATAGCTTATTTATAACTCTTCTATCAGGTTTCCATTCTTTGTGGAAGGTTGTCAGTTTTTTTTTGTTATAAAAAAAAAATTCTCTTTCCATATGTTGGTTTGATTAAAATTTATTTTTTAAATGTAAATATTTAATATAAAAAATCTAACAGCTGTACTAAAAAAGTGTCTTCAACGTGTTTTTTAAAAATTTAAAATTATATGTAAACAATCTGCAAAAACAATTTTCTACAAAAGAGTAATTCGTAATTCTGAAGAGTTGGTAAAAATATATAATATAAAAAAGATTGATAACAATATAAAAAGAAATAAAAACAACAAATGTAGATAGGAAAACAGTAAAGCTTTCAATTTTAAAAAAATAAAATTAATAGGATAAATATGTAATTCATCATTTTAATACATGTATAACTAATACCCACATAACTTATTCTACCTTCTAGCCTGCATACCTTTATACATAGATTCCCTCATAAGTTATGTTGGTATTAATTATGTAGGACAACAAAAAAATGCAACCAAACACAGTATAAATTAATACATGAATAACTTTTATACAACATTTAAATTCTTACCAACCAAACATGGTATAAGTAACGTTGACTTTTATACCTAATACAAAACCTCTACCAAGCATAGTAAAGTTAATGCAACTTTTTATACATGAATAAGATGTATCTTATACAGTAACCAAACGACCCCTAACACATCTAGAGCGGTCAAAACGGGATTACCCCATGGGGCCTGCCCGACCCAATCTGTTATTGGGATAGGATTATGATAGATTTTTTTAAGCCCATTTAAAACTAAAGCTTGTAAGCCCGGCCCATATAAGTCCTTGGCCCTTAAGGCTTGATTGGGGATGGGTCGGGGTCGCCCATGGACCAAAACTATTTAAGGGTAATTTACAATTATCTCACTAGTACATAATCTAATTACTTAAATACACATTATGTTGTAATACTATGAATCTTACCAGATTTTGGTACGTTCAGATACATGTATTTCAAATATATATGAACTCAAAATTAGGTTAATTTGTTCTTGATACACTCTGTCAAAGTAGATTCGCATATATCTGAGATACATAGACAAATTTCGCGCCCTCGCTTCCCTCCCATCTTGCTTGTCACTCTCTTATCTCGCTCGCGTATTTGATATGCGAGATACATGTTAATTACACTAGAGTTTTTGCTAGTGTTATTGAAACAACACCATTGTTTGCCATATTTGATCTGAAAATCTTCTCATTTTCTTGATGTAATAGAATTATAAGTTTAAAAAGAAAAAAAATTAAAGAAAAAAGAAGGGCTACCCGCCCCAGCCCTCTGCCCTTCTAGGGTTGGGTTGGGTTGAGCGCCCGCCCTAGCCCTTCAAATTCCTTGGCCCGCGAGGCTTGGGCCCGATGGGAATGGGCCGACCCTTTTTGACAGCTCTAAACACATCTTTTATTTTATTATACTCCCTCCGTCCCATTTTATGTGGCAACATTTGACCCGACACGGAGTTTAAGAAATAAATGAAGACTTTGAAATATTTACCAAATTGCCCCTTCAAAAAATAGTAAGTAGACTCACTTTTCTCTCTCCTCATAAATGTATGATTAAGTGGGACCAACAAGGGTAAAAGAGGAAATGTACCTTTAAATACTTACCATATAAGGAAATGTGACATTATTTTTGGGACTGATCAAAAAGGAAATGGTGCCACATAAAATGGGACGGAGGGAGTATTATTTTTTAATTATTATAGATTTGATATTTTAAAAAATGTCATAGTTAATAATAAAATTAAGAATTGAGTGATAAATAATTTTTTTTATTTTTTAAAATTAACAAGTAAAAATATACGTTTATTTTTAATTGGGAAAATTACGCATTTAAGTAATTTTATACTACTTAATTACTCATTATAACTATAGTTTGTTATAATTATCACTCGCGACTAACATTAACCATTAATTATGTGAGCTGACTTCGAGTTTGTATAATTAGCCACGTTTGTATAATTCACCACGTTTGTATAATTCGCAACTAACAATTCTTCGTTTGATTTGTATTTGACGATATTTTCCTTTGATTTTTCAGTTTTATCACCATATACATTCAATCTTTTTGTGTATAACTCTTTAAAGTTTGTATAAACGTGTAGTTTTTGAATTTTGTATAATTTAATTTATATAATGTAATTTGTATAATATATTTTGTATAATTGTTTAAAGTTCATATGTTTATGTTTGTATCAATTCGTTATTTGTATAATTTTAGACTTTATATTACTCAATTATACAAAAAAACCCACGAATTATGCAAACGTACTTGCGAATTATACAAATGAGATGCGAA